CAATTGTCACGAGGCTTTGCCATACCTTGAAGAGCATGAACGGTTGATGAAGCGGGAACATCCTTCACATTTATATGCGAAGAAGCATCGTGATTTGTTTCCTTCGTGGTTTCACGCACATGTAAGTTTTATGTGGTTTGAATTAAGCATATTTTCCAACTTGTTCATGCCTGTCTTTAAATTTGGTTACATTAACAAGTTAACTTTTTGTATATGTTATATTAGATGAACAAATTGAAGGAATTGAATTCACCCTCTTACGATGAAGAATTATATAACTTGGCGAGAGGACCACTTCATGTTGAATTGTTCTCGGGTTGTCATGTAAATGGGATCAAGTTCTTAGGGGCAACACGTGATGACAAGTTGTCTACTCAAAATAGTGGTGTCCATGTCCCAGGTGCTGGCGACAGTGAAGACATTGATTTCTATGGCAAACTAACTTGTGTGTAGTACAATTGCTTTACAAAGACAGGTGTCAAGTGATACTGTTTAAGTGTCTTTGGTTTGATACAAACCCACATAACCGAACGAGTGTTAAGCAAGATCATGGTTTACTATCAGTAAACACTACGAGACATTGGTACGATGAAGACCCATACATTTTGGCAACTATGGCGAAACAAATATTCTATCTAGACGACCCCTAAAGCCGGCAATGGTTGGAAAGTTGTTCAGAAGATTGATCGAAGAGGGCTATATGATATTCCGGAACTAGATCATGATGAGAACGACGACAATGTCGCTGACCAACAGTTATCATCTTCGATAGAAATTGGTGAAGAAACACTTCGGGATACTAATATTGTCCAAGAACCGTTTGACGTACCTGGAGTTCCCGAATTCGAAATATCAATTGACCTTGGTGATCTACCTCAATACAATGCAGCGGAAAAGGCAAACGAAGATGAGGACGAATGGGAATCCGGAAATGGTAGTAGTGATGATAGTGAGAGTTATTATTGTAGTTCGGATGAGGATTAATATAAACTTGTGAAGGAAAAAGCAGGAGGCTGAGGGTTTAACACCGCTTCTCATCTACCACACTAATATTCCCAACAAATTATCTCATCGTCTCCATTCTATAAAGATAAAGATATCATGTAAGTTGTATGTTTTATGTTATCTTTATATTTGTTTTACTCTTAGTTGCATTTGATAATTGCGTTATTATGACAATTTTTCAATTGCATGATTGATTTTTTTTTCTTTCCTACATCAGGTTGTCATTGTTGCATTTTTGACATGGCTTGGATGGTTCATCCCTGGAGAATTTGGTCTTTTTTCCGGAAAACTAGATACCAAAAGGCATGGATAAATTTGAGCTGGCATTACAATTCGGTATCTCAGTATTAGTGGTTGCTTGCCCTTTTGCCATGGGACTAGCAATCCCTACGGCAGTAATGGTTGAAACAAATTGCTTTTCAATTTAGAATCTGGGTTTTCAACTTTTCATGCATTTTTATTTCATGTTTTTTTTGCTGGTGTACCTTCATTATACTTGTTCCTACTTACTTTTCCTTCCGATGACGTCGAAAACCTGTTTGTTTTGGTATTAGGAAAAGACAATTACTGATTAGATACTATCCATATGTCTGAGGGTGCAAGTGTATTGGGATTGAACATGCAACAATCATTTCATAGTTGGAATCTGTCTCATATGACTCTTTGGTTCTGACGATTGGTGGCCTTGTCCATGTCAAGCCATACTCGCCAAGTTTTAGATCCCAGTTTCTTGTAGATAACAGCTCTCATTGAGGGAGAGTTCTCCCCAACTCCTTTTCTGATAACAATGTAAGAATTCATGTGATTTCATCATTCTTGAATTCATATATGTGAGTTCATCAAACTGCCGATTGCAGCTGAACTTGGTAAATGAGCTGTATATATGGTTAGACTTCTTAAGGTTTTATATTCGAATGAAGTAAAACATACTGGAGGGAAAAATGTGATTAAGCCATGTTTGAATTAATGAAGAACAGTTGGCTTAATAATAACTGAAGATAACTGCATTATTAATGGGATAAGGCAGTTATCAGATATAGAATGGGATTGGTCCCTCTTCTCGGTATAAATATGGATGATTCACAGTTAAGCAAGGTTGCCCCATTTGAAACCTAATACATCCATTGTAGTCGTACAAGAGAAGGGAAGATACATCCTAAAACAGATCATGGCTTCAAGTTCAGGTTTGCATGCTTATTCATGTATATCAGTCCATGCATTGATTTTGGTATAATTGGGTTCTGCCGCTCAAGCGGTGGTCTCTGCCGCTCAAGCTGTAGTTCTGCCGCTCAAGCGGTGGTCTCTGCCGCTCAAGCTGTAGTATGACTGAGTTCTGCCGCTCAAGCGATAGTCTCTGCCGCTCAAGCGGTTATCTATTGCAGTAAATCTTAGTGTTTATCAAATATGCCATTTGTGTTGATTTACATGTAGTTTAGTAACTTGATTGATTGGATCCTGAATTATATTAATTTTAATAAACAAGGCTAATAATTGTTTCGTTCTTTTTGTTTTTTTTTTTTCCTTTCTAAAATTAAAAGTTGAACAAAAGGGCATGAAGGTACCTAAGTCATGAAGGTTGATAAATTTTTTAGCATTTCACACTTTATTGATGTCTGGACGTTTACTGACATGTGTTTGATCCCTGCAGGTGAACACGGTTGTCTTTGATATAACAGGAACTCTGACAGTTGGGAAACGGTAGTTAATGCAGTGCTCGTTTCCAATTACTCAATTGAGGAGTTCTGTGCTGTATCTATTGCCACAGAGGTTGGTGCTTATATTTTCAAATTTGTACATTAAAAGCTTCATTTGCTTAGTTGCATTAAAAATGTTAGTGTTTGTAGAGTAGTTAGGATGAAAACCTCTCGGAGGCTCTGACCTTTTTCAATTACACTCTCACGATGCAGTTTCCAGCTCATAGCAAGGGAAGGACGCCATGGGAGCCTCTTTACAGGCCTGCGGGCGCCAGAAGTACGTCGAAACCGGACGCAAAGTCCACAACTTGGTCTCTGCGTTGACCGTTTTCAACTGTGATTTTGTTCTCAACACACGCATCATTACCATGTGCAATGTGCGGTTCTCCTTTGGATTCCCGCTCAGTTTTCGACGGGCTGAAGAGGAAGAACTTGTTCCAGTGGAATGCGCTTGTTAGTGGGTATGCAAGAAACGAGCTTTTTGTTGATGCCATTGATGTGTTTGTGGATTTGATCAATAGATGGGACTGATTTCGGATGTGTTTGTAGGCAATGCGTTGATTGCAATGTATGGGAAATGCGGGTCGGTTGAGGATGCAGCTAAAGTGTTCGAGATAATGCCTGAGAAGAATTGTGATTTGTTTGAATTGTAAGAGGCTGCTAAAGACGTTTGGATCAACTGAACATGTGATGGAGGCTAAGGATTTTGAGGTGCACACAGGAGCTGGCGTTAGTGGAAGAGTTGGTGGCAAAATGGTTTTGGTTGGGACTTAATATGTGTTTACAAATTAATATTTCTTGTAGTTTAAGCAAATACCAAGCCAAAGTTCCTCTAAAATAACGGTATCTTTTATTTATTAGGCCAAGCATAAAATGAGATACATATATAGTATTATGGGAATATATGAACTATGGAAGATATGCCTGACAATTCCTGACACGACCCAATAACACGACACGACACGACACGGAAAAAAGAAAATGAAACAAAAAAGAGAGGGAAAATGAAAATTAATAAAAGTTGTGAGAAATTTTTTTTTTTTAAGTTATTAACTTTTTATCACATATATGACATATCCCACTATTTTTATAATGACACGTAATATACTACTTCGTGTACCAGTAAATTATACGTACAAAATAAAGAGATTTAAATCTACTTAATAAATATATATATATATATACACACCATTGAACTTGATGGGATACGAATTATACGAAACTAATTTCAACGATCCAACCGTCAAACTTGTTTGTATATACTTCGAGATCGTATCAGCAAAAAATTGCAAAAACCAAACATTCAGAGATTAAGTAACCGAACAAAACTTTTCAATGGTTAAAAAACGAAAAAAATCACGATTTAACGGTTATTTTAACTCCGATTTTGATTATTTTATAGCTACACTCCTTAATCCTATATGAATACAATGAATGAATTCGATCTTCAATTTAAAATATTTACACTAGTGGATACCAAAAAAATCTTATGTTATACTTAATGAAAGTATGAATAAACTCTTAAGTATTAGTGAATTTATTGTTTTGATGGGATACTCATTCTACGAAAGTAGTTTCAAGGATCCAACCGTCAAACATGTTTGTATATACTTCGAGATCGCATACGCCAAAAATTGCAAAAAACAAACATTCAGAGATCAAGTAACCAGACAAAACTTTTCGACGGTTATAAAAAGAAAAATCATGATTAACGGTCATTTTAACTCCGATTTTGATGATTTTTTGCAGCTACACTCCTTGACCCTATATGAATACAATGATTGAATTCGATCTTCAATTTAAAATATTTACACTAATGGATACCAAAAAAATCTTATGTTATACTTAATGAAAGTATAAATAAATTCTTAAGTATTAGTGAATCTATTGTTTTGATGGGATACTCATTCTACGAAACTAGTTTCAATGATCCAACCGTCAAACATGTTTGTATATACTTCGAGATCTCATACGCCAAAAATTGCAAAAAACAAACATTCAAAGATCAAGTAACCGGACAAAACTTTTCGACGGTTATAAAAAGATAAATCATGATTTAACGGTCATTTTTACTCCGATTTTGATGATTTTTTGCAGCTACACTCCTTGACCCTATATGAATACAATGATTTAATACCCCTAAAAACTATAATAATTATATAATATAATTACATATATATATTAACTAATTAGATATATATTTACTAGTGGATTTCGTACAACGCGTTTTTGATCAAGTTCAATGATATATATATTTACTAAATAGATTTTAATTTATTTATATAATACTTATAACACTTAAGAAATTGAATGATATATATATGTAAAAATAAAAATTTGTTGGTTTTTATTAGAAAAATATATTATTTTGGGGTTTATGTAAAAAAAAATTGAATTTGAAAGCAGTAAAGTCATATTTTCAGTAATTTTTATAATAATTGAAAAAAAAAAAAAACTTTGCGCGACGCCTTAACATGGTCGTCGCGCAAAAGCACTTTGCGCGACATCAAATTGTATACCAACGTCGCGCAAGATATGATAAATTTCGCGCTCCAATGCAGCAGTGAAAAAAAGGCGCTTTGTTTCAATTTTTCCTAAGTTTCGACTCTTTCCCGTATAATTAATAGACCTCTCTTCCCTCTTGCACTCTTTCGGCCTTTCCCTCTTTCCCATATAACCTCTTGCTCATCTATCCTCTCTTTCCCTCTTTCCCGTATGGTTCCCTTGCTCACCTCTCTTTCCCTCTTTCCCACCCTCTTCCTCACCTTTCTTTCCCTCTTTCCTGTATAACCCTCTTGCTCATCTCTCCTCTTTTTCCCGTACATATCTCTCTCCCTCTCATTCACAAGCTTTCCTCTTCACAATCACGAATCCAACCATCACCACCACTACTCTGTCAGTTGTCTCTCTCCCTCTCGTTCTAAACGACGGGCAGTGACGCGAATCTGGAAACTGACGCGAATCAAGTCCCAAATTCAAGGTGAGGGTTTCTGATTTTTTATGGGTTTTTGTTATTTAGGGTTTAGGTTCAAATTGCATGTTGGGTTTTGTCAAATTGATTTTTTTTGTGATGTGATTCAAGTTGATTGTGTGAAGTTTTTGCAATTTTGTTGATTTGTATGTGTATTTTGTGTATGAACATGAAGGTGTTTTCGGTGAAGCTTTTGCAATTTTGTCGATTTAGGATGCGAAGGTGGACTCACATAACATAATATCAAATCAAATGTATTCAATAATCCAAAAAATTGGGACATAAAATATTGATTAACCTTGACAAATGCTTGTAAACTATAAATTCTTGAAGCTGTTGTTATCTAAGAGTCCTCCATGCACTTTATGTAAAGTAATGTGCTAAGACGCTACAAATGGAAGCAGTTGCTGAGCTCATTAGACTCAAGTCTCTCTGCCCCATTCTTCAAAGTCATCAACATTTGTTAAACTGTCTTTGTTTTTGTTTTTGTTTTTGTTTTTTGTTTTTTGTTTTTTTTTTTATGTTTGGCAGTTTTTATGAGTTATTACCAAAATTGATTTGAGTATGTAGAGCATAATTTGAGCATTTTTGAAATGAATCTGACCTTCACCGAAAGTCAAAGCCTTTGTGTAATTTCCCCTGTTTGTTTATAGAGGATATTAGGTGAAGCACATGCCTTTACTAGATATATTTAGGACCTTGGATGTACAAGTTAAGAGGGGAGAGAAGACTTGTAATTTACTCTTTGATGTACAAGTTAGGACCTTGGAATATACCATACATAGGAAGTTAGAACTCATGGGTGATTTACTCTTCTAGTCTCAGTTCTCTTTCTCTTCTCTGCTTTTCCTTTTCCCTTTAATTTTCTCATTTCTCTGTTTTGCTTCTCTGCAATAATTAAATACATATTCCAAGCATATATATGTGTGTGTACATATATGTATCTATATGCAAATATTGGAAGATTAGTTGGTTGGATGATGGATTGCAAAATGTTTGCCACTGCATTTTGGAATTTCCATTTCTTATTCTGTTTTAATTTTTATAATAGTTTTATTAGTTTAACCATATTAGTAATTTAAGTTTTTCTTTTTAAATGGATTAATGGGTTTCCTACTTTGCTTGATATCACAGTTCTTAACTACATAACTAGATTACCGAAAATAAGACTTGAATTTGAGTCTTCATCCCTTGTATCGAAAAATGACTTAAATTTCATCTTTTTCTGTTGTTTAATGTCATAACTTATGTGATTTAGCTTTTCGTTCTGATTCTTCATATTGGGGAAGATATTGTTTCTTCTTTTTCATCATCCTCTTTTTGTATCACCTTATTCCTTGAAATAAAATGAAGTATCAACTCTAGGACAAGTAAAAAGTTGGTGCATGGTAGTGATATCTCTGGACAGTAGCTGACAATAAGTGAATCACCAGATAGTGGCAAATTGCAAATGAATAATATCAGCCATACACCAGTGACATTTATTTTGTGTATCTAATTGTTGATCCACACACACATATACACAAGGTTGTTCATAAGGTTGTTGCATATAATTTGTTACTTGCTCAATTTAAATATACATTGTCCGTACTTTTTTTTTGAAATTAAGAATGTTGGTAACCTACTTATTACTTTGGTTGCTAATTGATTAGTTTCTAATGTTATAATTTTATGGTTTAAAAAGTGTATAGATGTCGCATTTGATCACTCGTCGTCGGAGTGTGACCAATGCGCCTCCCACATTATCAGCATCTACTGCTCCATGCGTGAGTGCTCCATTGAATGGGGAGCCTACTCCCTTTATTGAGGCTACTCCTACGGCGTCCCAGGTGCCTGTCTCATCGACGTCATCAGTGTCCGTTCACCCGCTCAGTGCACGGCGGCCTCACCGGCGTCGTCGCGAGCCGGACCCTTATGATCACACTTCCTCAGCATCCAGGGTTGAGGGTGAGGCCTCCCAGCCAGGTAGTTTTTTTCTAATTCTCGATCACTACGTTGTATTTTTTTTTTTCATTTTAAAAGTATTATTTTTATGATGCTGAAAATTTGCTAGATTGTGAAAATGTGTTGTGGGTTGTGAATTACTGTTATTTTAATGTTTTAAGGTTTTGGGAAATGCTTTACTATTAGGGGAAGTTATGTCGAATTTTCTGTGCAAATTTAAGCTTAGGGTTTTCACCATTTAAGTATTTTTGGCTAGCTAAAAAAAAAACTAGGGGGCCTAGTCGAATGCTGAAGCCAGCACAGAGTGTACGTTTGACTGGCTCTAAGATCAAGATTGAGTATGACCCGGTACATCGTGGAGCTGCTACAGCACAACAGCATAGCATCGTCGTTAGTAGCTGTGGTGTTGTTATTAAACAAAATTGTCCTATGCAGTGGGAGAAGTGGGCAGAAATTCCCGATAGGACGAAGGATTTGGTGCGAGACAAGTTGTCGGTTAGTATATTAATTTTTAGCCTTTATAATGAAGTTGTTTGTTAGTATATTAATCTTTATCCTTTAACTACTTGGTTCTTCATAAAAATATTGTTCTTCTTGATGTTCTGTATATTCATTTTGACTTACTGGATTACTTAGGTATGTTTCGAATTTGGTAATGAAATTCAATCATCTAACTCTTTTATCTAGTTATTTAATTCATTTTGATCTATTTCATCAAATTTGAAATTAACTCTTATGTTTCTTTTTCAAATTCATAAGCTAATCTTATTGAATCTTGTTTATTATAATCTTGTACTTTATGCCATGTTTGAGTTGCTTGTTCATGAATGTCATTGGGTTCATAAATTATATTTACGATTCTTGCATTCTTTTTATCTAAATAAACAAATTCGAATTCAATATCATTTTTTTAGTTTTGTTTACAAATAATAAAAACCAAATTATATTATATCTTAATATTATCTTATTATTATTTTATTGTTTTTCATATTCGTAGGTCATTTTTGATCTTGATGATATATCCCCCGAGGTCAAGGCCTACTTAGACGAGACCTTAGCAACCCGGTACAAACATTGGAAGAACTATCTTCACACGCATTTTCAGCTATGGGATACTTTGGAGATTGCTCGCCTAAGTGGTTGCCCAAGCGAGTTGAAGGACCGGCCAGAGGATTGGGAGTGGCTCTGCAAACATTTTACGGACCCAAAATTTGTGGTATGTACATAATATTTTAATAATAATTTCTTATTGTTTTAGTTATTTTTAAGGTTTTTTTTATTAATTTATTTGAAATAGTCGCACTAACATGTATATTGTGTGTTTAACAGAAGAAATCTGTTGCTGGCAAGATAGCTCGGGAGTCAAAGACACTTCTTCACCATTCCGGTTCGAAGCCCTTTTCGTATAGGCTTGAGGCACGACGTCAGGTAAAAGTATATTAATTTAGAAATTTTATACAATTTATTTATTATTATTGATTAATAAAATTTTCTTAATGTTTTTTTTTTCTTCAGGAGGGTTCTAAGTTCCCAGAGATCGACATGTTCGAGGATGTTTACGTTCGACCTGGAGATGCGAACAGTGAGCATCTTCATGTAAGTAAATGTAATTGTTATTATTCTTATATGTATGCATGAATCGTTCAAATATTATTTATATATATGTTTTTTTCTTTATTATTACAGGCTCTTATGGTGGAAAAGCGCACTGCTGTTATCCAAGAAGCAACATCGCAGCTTCCCCCTGAGACCCCGATTGAGGACGTCCCGGTACCCGAGGATGCAGGTTTTCAGATCATGACTGATGTCTTAGATCAGAACCTTGGTCGTCGTCATGGCAAGGTTGTTCGTGGCATGGGGAAAGCACGAGTTCGTGAGACTGGTGCCTCTTCTTCCAGATCGAACACCGCAGAGGTCGATTCATTGAAGGAGCAAGTGACAACCCTACAGGGTCAGCTTCAGGTCCAGGGCGAGCAGATGAGGGAGCAGATAAGGGCCCAGGGCGAGCAGCTGCAGGCTTATGCTGGCCAAGTGAGAGACCTTGTACGAGCCATACAGATGACTGGCCTCCAAATCTCACTACCAGTAGTACCTGATCTTGCTACACCTTCGACTTTCGAGCCACTTCACCCTACTGATACCTAGTAGCCATTTCACCAAGAAGATTACTTGTAGTTTTTTTCTTTTTCATTCGGACATAAACAATACATTTCCATATTTATATGGAAATGTATAAACCCTATATATATATTTATAATGAAATATTTTTCTTTGGTGCATTAATTATTGTTTATAATTGTAATTACAAAGAAAATAATATTTTTGACCATTTCTTCAAAAAAAAAAAAAAAAAAAAAAAAAAATCCACTTTGCGCGACGTAGTTTACGTCGTGCAAAGTCAAGCGACGCTACTTTGCGCGACGTAGCATACGTCGCTCAAAGTAGATTTGCGCAACGAAGGGTTACATGCGTCGCGCAAAGTTGATTTGCGCGACGTTTCATACGTCGCGCAAAGTAGCGTCTCTTGACTTTGCGCGACGTAGACTACGTCGCGCAAATCCACTTTGCGCGACGACGGGTTACATGCGTCGCGCAAAGTGGATTTGCGCGACGTAGTCTACGTCGCGCAAAACAGCTTTGCGCGACGTAGCTGCGTCGCGCAAAATCCACTTTGCGCGACGACGGGTTACATGCGTCGCGCAAAGCCTTCTGTCACTGCCTTGCCGCGACGGTTTGCGCGCGACCAAGGTGAGTTGGGCAAGGTTTTGCGCGACGTTTTTTTACTTTGCGCGACGACTGACCTGCGTCGCGCAAAGTGTTTTTTTTTAGTGACTTGAATTAGGATTTTATAGCTTGTAATATTGTTTTGCGTATGATTTTTGAATGAAATATATTATATTTAACTTTTCAATGTTAATTTTGATAAATTTTTTGACCTTTATTAATGAGACCCCTCGAGTTTAAAATCCTGAATCCGCTACTGATTAGAGAAGTCTTAATTAGTTTTAGAGAGGTCTTAATTAATTAAATAAACACAGCTCGGAAACATTTCACGTCAAATAAGACTTCAGTCTCACAATATGATTCAATTTTTGTGTGTGTAATGTATATATGTGGTTAGCACACACCAACACCGTAGCTGACAACTAAAACTTCAATTAAAATAGTCAACGTTCAAACTTCAAAGGCCTTATACACGCTTTTACTTGCATGCAAAAACTCCAATTTCTGTTCAAAATTGCGATTCAAGAAAATAGTAAAAAAACTCGACAAGAGTTCGTCAAAATACCTCTATACCATTAGTAATGTTAATAAAAAAATTTGAACCAGGACAACTTAATTACAAAATATAAAGTAAAACTTCTTTATTATAATACTCTATATAGGAATAACCTCCTTAATTGTGATAAAAATTTATGGTCCCAACTTGCACTCAGTTATATATGTAAAGAATAAACTCCGCATTATAATAAGATGATTTTTATAGGTCACGTATTAAGACCTCGCCCCCATGTAGTAATAATCATTAATAAGTACAAAAATATGCAACGCTACAAATAAAAGTTTAAGATGAACTAAAATATTTCTCTATAATTGTTTGAGACAATGTATTATTTTTTTTAAGTTGATATCATGCTTTTGAGCTTGCGAGTACGTAATATCTCGTCAAATGGACGGTTTCTTGTTGAAGCCCAAATGTTTCTAGCTTCTCAAGCATGTTTCCGATAAGCATTAAACTTAAAGAGAGTACTACATACAACATGCACTAGATTTTAAAGATTGAGTGTCTTTCTTTTTTCAATGTTACATCTTAGAAATTGACGTACTCCACTAATAATATTTTTTAGCTACACCTCTATTAAGTAATAACGTCCCTAAAGTTATAAAATTCTCTTGGTTCTAACATGATGACTATATAGAGGTTTTACTGTCTGGATTAATTAAGTAAACAAAGCTATAGCTCGTTTCCAAAAAAAAAAAAAAAAAAAAAAAAAAAAACAAAGCTATAGCTCAACTTAAGAGTAAAAAGAAGGATTGTGTTTTATTAATTAGCCTTGATTTGTTATAGGCCCACAATATAGTGAAGCCATAAAACCAAAGCCCTTACGGGTATGATGACCCATTCAATTCAAAAGTTAAAACCAAAGCCCTTGCGGGTATGACGACCCATTCAATTCCAAGTCAAAACAAACAAATAGATTTATAAAAATCAAAGTCAAATGAAAGTTGGTCTTAATTGATGCCTATAAAAGAGCCCCCCCGTATTCTCCATCTATTCATTCCTTCAATTCATTCATTACTTCAATCCTTCCTATTTTTCAGACAGACAAAAGAAGCAAAATCTTAGTTTCCAACAAACCTTTATCTTTATCTTCGTTCATTCATTCCTTCTTCTTCCACAGAATAAAGAAGCAAAATAATCTTTGTCTGCCCAACAAAATGAAGTTTCTAAAAATGTTTTTGGTGGCAGTGTTTTTAGTGGTTTTTCTTATGAACATGCAATCCTCCGAAGCCTGCAGAGTGTTGCATGGAGAAGAAAAGTTTATGCATCAGATGAAGAATGATGTTTTGCATCAGATGGATCGTCCCTTCTTCCCTTTGATCAGGCAAATACTTAGGGGCACTGTCCCTCCCGGAGGTCCTAATCCGACTAAACCTTGAAGTTGTACCAATTCCAAAGACTCTGCAACCATCAACGAAAAGCACTAGCAGAATTAATTTTTAACCCCTTTTAAACATTTGATATATTTTCTTAGCAGTGAATAAGTACAGGAAAATACTTGCAGTCTAGGGTTTTTTTTTTCTTATATAAGATGTGTAAGAATGTAAAAAAAAAAAGTGTATTAGGTTCCTAATGTGTATGAAATTGACTGAATAATACGAAGTACAGATAAAATTATATATATTTATTAATTTCTTTTTGTGCCTGTGTGCATCTGTAGCTCTAGCATGGGTTTGTTACCTTTTAATTTAACACTGAGTTTAAAATCAAATACCATTTTGTTGACCAGAAATTAAACTATAGAATTGCGAAAATATATTACCTGGTCTACAAACACCTCTGACAGTGTTTTGCAGAGATATACATAAGTATTATACCACAAATGTGTGTGTTTGTGTTAGAGTGAAAGCTCTACATATCTGGTTTGAAATTAAGGCACCTTTTTTAGTCTAATTTTAAAGTGAGACGGTTTAGCTATCACTTAGTGTTATTTAGCACTCCACTCATTATAACATGAATGGATAGGTAATACATGTGACGGTCACATTGATAAAATAATTCGTGCCGGAGAAAAAAACCCTTTCAACTAAATAGTGCCATTCACAATTTGAAGCCAACACCAATCCTTTCAACTAAATATTTCAGTTCACAAAAAGTGCATGGTGTATGAAAGTGTCTAACATTACATGATATCTGAAATTAGTATGCATTAATAACGAGTCATGCAATAACATATGAACGTTTTCTTTGTTTTACAATGTCATGCAATATCATGAACTATATGCCTGTGGACTGTGGAGCATCAAATTCAAAATATATATCAAACAGTTGGCGCGCGCTAGCTGTTAGTTGGATCCATGGTTTTGGTGTTAATTCATACGCTCCTCCCCGTTGAGTTTGATTTAAACTTATTAACGTTGTTTTGCATCATTTAAAAATAATAATCATCAAGAAAATTTACATGCAAAAGGAAAACTAATGAAAAATGCTTGAAAACTTTGAGTTTTAACGATAAGGACAAAATAAAGGGTAAAGTGAATAGTATCAGGTTTGACTTTTTAATGTAAAAATGTGGTTTTTTTTTAAAGTGAACAGTACCGTGGGCTTTTCGTTAAAACTCCCAAATATATATATGGAATGTATTAAGTGACGCACGTCTTTTTTTGGGTTATAACATTAAGTGACAAATGTGATCACTTTGTGTATGCCACGTGTCACCATCCTATGAGGTGATTAGTTGGGATGGTTAATAGCAGTTAACTATAGATAATGCTAGGGACCAAATTTATACGCCACAGCACCATATCTACCATGGCTGATTGTCCATGGACATAAGAAGTCCGTTATAAAAAGTCCAATTTAATGACAGACGTTTGAAGTTTGTGGTAAATAAATTAGTTTAACAACAGGCGTAGAGTGTTCGGTGATTGAAGGTGTTGAAGCAACAACGTGTGTTTAAAGCCCATTGTGGTTTGGCTATATATTATCACGAGGCATGTCTGTGGTTACAAAAATTTTGACAACAGCGACATTTTAAATCTACCACAAACTATAAGTATTGTCGTTATAATTATAATTTTTCATTTTTTTAATCAACCAGTATAAGAATAAACACTCAAATTTCAGATCTCAATGAAACCTATTTACCGTTTTCATATCAGACACCGCCAACCACTAGGTCTCACCCCCTATTCTTATGTCGACAATTACTCCGACCCCAAACTACTCATTTCTTTGCCTTGTTCGTATACACTATTCGAACCCTAATTTTTTTTTTCTATTTCTTTGGGCATGTCAGGTATTCCCAATCTATAGGATCTTCGTCTTCGTCTCCAACTAGAGAGCACGAGATCTCGCTGGTGTATATCTCGGTGGATTTCAGAGGCGGTGGCGGAATAGGAATGGATCTCTAAGATCGATTAAATTTTAGGCGGCAAATCTCCACCATTGATGAAATTGTGATTCTTTCTTTCTATGTTATAACTTCTTCAGGTGTGAGCTCTATATATTTCTCTAAGTTTGATTTCTCAAATTGCTATTGTTTATTAGATTTTGCTTCGATCTAATTCTAGTTGAGTTCGATTTTGAACTTGAATTTAAATTCGATTTTGATTTACATATGTCCAAATTTCGTTGAAGGTATTACTTCTTCAATTTTGATTTCAAGTTCTCCATTTTGGTGATTTTGATCTCAAGTTTTAAAATCGAAAGATTAGGGATCGGGGATTGGGCTAGGGTTTCAAAACCAGAGAGATGGAGTTGGATTTATGGCTTTCTCTATGAAAATGTGTGTTTTGGGGTTTCGAATGGTGAGCATTGAAGGGGTTAAGGATTTTGAAAACTGAGAGACTGAGGGCTGCACTAGTTTTTTAATTGCATGCTTGTTTTGCAATCCAATCACAGTGCTTGGTTTTTTTTTTTTTTTTTCGTTGTTATCTGAATTTAATGATATTATTTAGACAATTTTGACTCCCAACTCCTTAAGTGTGATTCTGATTATACTCTTTTTGGAATTGTGTTTCTTGAATTCCATCCCAAATTGTGATTCTAATTTCCCCTTCTTGGTCTTTAATCATACCAAACTCAATGCTTATTCATGCTTATAATTTTAGTTTGCGGAGTTTGATTTTATCACCAATTGTTTAATTGAAAACTTTAATTAGTGGGCAGCCTTTGGAGAAAAAGTTATCAAATTCTGGTGTTGAATATGGAAAATAAAAATCAATCGTTATCGTCAGTCAGTCGTGAATTAGTAATCTAATGAAATTAATATTTCAAGACTCTAGATTTGAGACATGCTAGCACTCTTCTCCACAGGTAATTTTTAACTTTTTATATGTTTTAAGTTTTTTTTAATATAAATTTTGAGTGATGTTTCATTCTTAAGCCGTGGTTTCTTTGCTTTGCAGTTTCCAGTTTCTATTTGCACAAAGAACTTGCAAACAAGGTAAAAATTTGATATTAATTTTTGGGCTAATTAATGATTTAGTTTATAGTATTGGTTTGGTTACTAATGTTTATGGTTTATTAAAAAACAAAAAAGTTTCTGATTATGGTATTGATTTGATTAATCTTGTATAGTATATGTTTGCATAAATATATGTAGTTTCAGAGGGATGCATCAATAGAAAGGTTTAGAGGCAAAAACTGTACATGAAATGCTAGTTTTAGAGGCAGAGCAGTTGAGAGGAATACCTAGAAACCTGAGAATTGATGATTGTAAGTTAAGCTCTGTATTTACTTCATTCACTGCATATGCAATTCTAATTTTGCACTACATGCTCTTGTTAGAGTTAGGTCTTTATATCTGTTCGATTCTTTACTGGTTGATTTTTGGCTTCTTATGTGGACTATTGGAGATTCGTATATCTGTACAAGTCTTTACTAGTTAACTTTTGACTTTTTTTTGACAAAAAAAAATATATATAAAACTTTTGGCTTCAAGTTTTGTATGTCTTTTCACTTTTCTTGATTGAGATCAAATTTTTATTTCTGCCTATAACAGTACAAGAATTTCTTTCTTTTGATCCATATGCTTATGTCCATGCAGATAGAGAGAGGCAACAATTGTTAAGGGTCAAGCTTTAGGGGCAGTATTTCACTCTCAAGGTTCTTTCGTTTGGAGGTATTCAAAGAAATCTGAAGTGTTCAAGCGACAATGTCCTTGTTATGGCCTATTTGATACTTCTTGGATGGTTTGGTATTTCTTAGTATAACTCATTGGTTTGTTATTAGTTTTAGTGTACATCTTGTAATATTTGAAATTTTAATCTATGATTTTTTATGTAATCGTTATATTGTAGTAAATATGCAATTTGTATATAAATATTTATATATATAATTTTTATTGAATAATTTTTTTTTAAAAAAAAATTTTGGGAATTGTTTTATAACGGGCATTGGTTTCAGTCAATTTGGAATCCACAACGTCTATAGTGCACGTGGTGTTAGATTTTAATCTACCACGGGCACAATCCGTGGTTGCTTCACATTAGGCAACGAGCATAGCCTGTAGTTGAAACTATGACTTTCTATCACATCCAGATTACTAACGGGCACATTGTTCGTGGTGGATTGCAATCTACCATGGGTATCAACCATAATAGATGAGCTTTTTTTCTTCTAGTTGCAAACAAATGATGTGTCACCGACATGAAATAAGCACGTTAATCAATGCTTAAGTTATAATCTAATCATCCACATCCACATTCATACCATTTGGCTTAGTAATTTGCTCTCTCTAGCATTACACATATATACAAGAAGAAAAACCCACATCTATCATGGTGAATGCCCGTGGTTGATTGCAATCTACCACGGACACTGTGCCCGTTACTATTCTGGACATGATGAAAAGTTTGAAGTTCTACGACAGTCAAAGCGTGTTATCACAATTAAATAAAAAGTACAAGACATCATCTTATCTACCACAACAATTTTAGCGTTAAGATTATAAAATTGTATAATGAAAATACGTTATTTGCAAACAAGTATGGTGTATGCATTCCCTCGTGAGACTGTTTATTACACCAAATCATAATAGAAACTAATCTAGTCATTCTTCATATCATGCATGACATTAATTTAAGGTCAAATGGGACTTCAGCGATCAACGATAAAATTCAACTTTTTTATATTCATGCCGTGTAAAAGGTTAGCACACCCAATACTACAAACTTTCAAAGGTCTTTGTAAACGCTTTCCCACCATATCCTTTAGTTATCAGTTCTCATCAGTTTGCCAAGGAAGCAAATGAATTTGATCAATTCCCAAATTTCTCACTCGGTTTACTATTCAATTTCTAACATTTTGAAACGACCGTCAATGGTCAAAACATATAAATATAGCTCGGTAAATGTTATTGAAAATTTCAAGTCGTATAATATCAGTTCTGTTAGTCCATACAATATTTCATATATATATATATATATATATATATATATATATATATATAATAGCAGAGCTAGCAAGCCCTATAAAATATCCCCCACTTATTATTCATTGCAACTCAATCCTTCCGATTTCCATCTTTTATTTGCATTGCATACAGCTTGAGAAGAAAAGAGAAGAAAAAAAGAGCAAATTAATAAAGTCGTTGTTTGCCAAACAAGGAACAACATGAAGTTTTTAAATATACTTTTGGTGGCAATGGTAGTGGTTTTTCTTGTGAACACGCAGTCGAATGGGGCCTGCAGAGTGTTGTATCATGGGAAAGACAAGTTGATGACGGTGAAGAAGGATGTTTTGCATAATCAGGACTTCCCTATTGAGGATCTGATTATCAGGCAAGTACTGCTGAAGGCTCCTGCCCCACCCGGCGGTTCGAATCCAACAGAACCTGCAACAGTTAATTAGATTTTTATTCCACAACGTTTAATTTATATTTAATCTTCTTGACAGTGAATAAGTACAGGATGCTGCATTGTTTCCTTGGATAAGTTGTGTAAGCTGTAAAAAAAAAGGTTCATTAGCTTTCCCAATTTACATGATTATATTTGACAGAATATACATAATACAAAGTAATAAAGACGAAATTCCTTCTTTTTTATTTCTGTTTCTGGTTTATTTATATTTTGCACATGTATGTAGGAGTGAGCATCAAACTGATCGGTTCAAATTGTAAGGAGTAATTTGGTTCGGTATTGATCATCAACAATTCAAAATCGAACCAAACGATAAAACCATGATTTTGATCCTATACAAATCACAACCGAACATCCCTTTCTTATTGTATTCTTATTTTCTTCACATGTACATGTTGGCCTATGTACTAACAAAAAAATTGCAAAAGAAAAAAAGGATTGGACTTGGACACAAATATTTGGTTTGGTTTGATTTAATTTCATCCGGATTTTATTTAAAATGGAACAAAAATGATCCATCATATAATAATTGGTTTGGTCACTAGTTTAGGTGCGAAACATGTTTAAATCAAACTGTGCCAACTGTAACGACCCATCCCCAAATATTTCAGTTTTAAAGCGTGAAATTACGAAAATGCCCTTCAAGGTAAAACGTTGACTTTTTGTTGACCGCCTTGTTGTATCACGTAAGGTTCTTTTCCTTGGCATGTCCTTGTAGTACTCGTCACTATGAATACATGGGCGTAAGGAAATTTAAATTGGAGCTAAGATGGAGATTTTACGAACTCACGAACGTGAAGGGCAATTTGGTAATTTTATGTTGGGATATTCTTGTGTATGCTTTTTGTGAGTCGTGGGGCCCACACCCCACTTTCCCTCCTTCCCCATGTTTTCTCCCCCGATGCTCTCGAACTCTCTTGAAATCTCTCCCTCATCTTTCTGTCATTCTCTCATTCTTTCCAAGCAACACATACACAACACCACCACCACATCACCTCGCCTTTTTGGCAAGCCCTCATACCACCTGAACCCTCCAGACCACCACCATCTTCTCTCCCTATTTCTCTCCCTCGAGTTTGTGATCACTATTCAAAAACAGTAAAGGTTCTCGACAACTTTGACCTAGGTAAGACTCGGGATGCCTGCGATCCTTTCTTTTTTCGATGTTTGTGAGATGTTCATGATGAATTAGGGTTGAGTTTAGGACTAATTATTCATGCATGTAGTGTTCTTCAAATCTCTAGTTTTCGGCAATAAATCATATAGCTTGAAAGCCAAATTATGGCCAACTCCGGCCACTGCTGACTTAGGGTAAGTAGAACGTGGGAAATGGTTAAGATTTGACCCCAAATCAGAGCCGGGGAAGTTTCTCGGCCAAAATCCCCAGAATTTCGATTCTCCTTCGTTGGGTCTAGTGAGCCCCGAGCCCAATCGGGTCAACCTGACCCACAACCTAAAACTAGACCCAAATCCAATATGAAATCTGGTCCAAATCCTTGACCCAAAATCCAACCCATTAACTAAGGCCTAACCCTATAACTCGGCCTAACCCAGTAACCTAAGCCCAGATTCGACTTGAGCCTGAAACACAGTTTCCACGGTCAGCTCGTAGGCCATGCCTGGACTCTGCCATGGCCGGCGCATGAAGCACATGCGCCTCCATCGAAGGTACTGTGCTCCGCCGTCGTCCATGGCGGCGTTGATGACTTTTTTGACGAACTTTCTAGCGACCATCTCTACGCGTGCGATGGCGGGTTAGGAAACCCGATGTCCCTTTCTAGGTTTTTCGACGTGCCAAATCCAAATCCGCTGTTCGTTTCCCCAAATTCTATCGTTTTAGTAGATTTTTATTAAATGATCTCTATTTGTGTTTAGGTGCATCAATTGGAAGTGATTCTATCATCCCTAGTTTGAGCTACTTTCCTGTAATGGAATATCTGTGAGTGGACCCCTTCTTAAATTGCATGTTTTATAAAATATTAGGCAGGCATTCACGAAAAGCATGATTTCATAATCTTACGTTTTATGCATTATTTATGATTTATCGAATTTATGTTTTACGAAAGGTTATGAATTATTGGTTTTCTGTATTTGAAAGTCTCTAGATTACGAATATGATTTATATTACGAATTTATGAATATGATTTATCATGGTTTATGAATTGATGTTTTGAGCCCTTGAGCTCTGGAGATTTGTTATGAGTTTTTGAGATATGTTTTGGTACTTACGTAGTGGGTTATCATACAATACATACACACAACACAGGTATGTAGACGTCTATGGCCATAGGACACAATTGTTGATATTTATGTCATACCCCCAACTTCACTGGCAAAACCAATGCCGGACAACTTCATTAGCCACGGCTAGTGTCGGTGTGTTATGTATATTTGGGTATTTTTCTTCTCTGGCGTAACCTATAGTCGTACAGCCTTACCTTCGGGTGATAGGGCCTACCATGTTCCTTCACTGGCGTAACCGGGTGTCGTACAGCTTCACCTTCGGGTGATGGACAGGGTATGCCTTCGGGTGACTATGATACCCCTAGTGGAGTACATAATTGATGTGATTTACAGATGTTTTACGGATTTACCTTCGCGCAGCTATACTACCATCTCTGAGTACAGGCTTATATGTACGTGTTTTATGAACGTTTTTCATGGCATGCTAGATTTTTCAGAAGAAAAAAAACCTATTATGTAGTATTATATAATGTTTTTCAAAACAAGAGTTAGTATGTTCAGAAACAAAATGATTTTCTTATTATTAGTATTATTATTATAAATTTTGGTCCACTCACTCTTTTGTTTTGCATCCCCTTCAGGAGTTAGAATTGAGGCACACAATCCTGGTGTCTAGGCATTTCCGCTTAGGTATCTTCGAGTCTTTTCAAAGTAGAACTCATTCCTTTATTCGTACACTTTTATTGTAATTCTTTCACATTATTCCTGATTAGTTGTATGCTCTGAACATGTTTCTGCTTTGGCATATTTCTCTCTAATTACCTATTTTATTTGTATGCATGTTTAATATGGCTTCGTCACCCTCGGATGTTGGCCAACACGTGCCTATCCTGGTATTTGGGGATATCGAGTTTAGGGCGTGTCACCAACCTTTGACAAACAAATCTTATATATGAATTATTTATAAATTAATTAAAATTCTATTATGATCCTAGGTACCGTTTGGTATGTGGGATGGGACGGAATGCGCTTGTCCCACGTTTGGTGAGCCAAAGGCAGTGAGACGAGTTGTCCTACGGAACGAATTTTGGTAAATTTCTATTTCACCTCCCCTCCTGGAACGACTCGTTCCACCCTGTGGAACACAAAATTATAAAATTTTAAGACAACAATGCCCCTTATCTTTTTCAATAATTACACTTTTTTTTTCT